AAAATTAATTTTTTATGTGATGATCCCCTCATAAACATCACAAATTTTAACCTATAAAATCAAATGTCCACTATGCTCGTGTACTAGAATTATTGTTTTGTCTAGAAAAATTTCATATGATCAAAAATCACATGTTTAAAAACTGATAGTAAATTCCTGATCAGTTGAATCGAATTAGAATATCTTCAAACATGAGTTCAATTGGAACTGGAGTAAAGTTTTCTTATAAAAATGATTCAAATTCATCCAATTAAATAAAAATATATGATTAAAATAAGAAAAATTCTTCGTTTAAAATAGTATGATATTTCGGTGTCTACGTATTCGCCAGACGGTCGCGTTTTTCAAGTAGAATATGCGACTAAAGCTGTAGACAACAGCGGGTATTTTTATTTATTTTCATGTGATAGATTTTTCTTTATTTCTATAATAGTAATATATATATATAATACATATAAAATTATTAGGACTGCGATCGGTTTACGTGTTAAAGACGGAGTAGTCTTGGCTGTTGAAAAACTTTTACATTCGAAATTATTAGTACCTCGTTCAAATCGTCGAATCCAAACAGTTGATACACATATTGGAGTGGTTTGTTTTTTTTTTTTTTTTAAAAAAAAAAAATGCAATTTATAATGTATAAATTCTATGAAATTTTGATTGATAAAAAAAATTACTTGTCTTTACATTTTATTTTAAGGCCACAGCTGGATTATTAGCAGATAGTCGTCATATCATTAATCGAGTTCGAGAAGAAGCAAAAGCTTTTCGAGATATTTATAAATATCAAATACCCGGCAAGGTGAATATCATTTTTTTTTTATCTAAGAAACTGAAAAAGGTTGGACGTAATATAATGTTTTTATCAAAAAATTTTAGACAATCGCCGATAGAGTAGGTCAATATGTGCAAGCTTATACATTATATTCAAGTGTCCGACCGTTTGGTAGTAGTGCGATAATTGGTATTGTAGATAAAACGGGACCACATCTTTATATGGTTGAACCATCTGGTGTATACTGGGTAAGAAAAAAAAAAATTATCAAATATATATATTTTTTCTTTTGAATTTTAATTTATATTTTTTAATATTAGGATTACTTTGGTTGCGCAGTGGGCAAAGGAAAACAAGCAGCAAAGACAGAAATTGAGAAACTCAAACTTTCTGAAATGTCAATTGAAGATGCTATTAAAGAGGCTGCTAGAATGTAAGAAATATAAATAATTTGATAATTTTATTTAAAGAATAATTTTGGGAAATTTATTAATTTATTATTGGATTTTATATTTGGATTTTTATATTGATAGTATTTATGCAGTTCATGATGATGCAAAAGATAAAGATTTTGAATTGGAATTAAGTTGGGTTACTAAGGATACTGGAAAACATCAATTTGTACCTAGAGAAATTGCGGAAGAAGCAGAAAGACTTGCTAAAGTAATTTTTTTTTTTTTTTAAAAAAAAAAAAGTTTGCTGAGAATAAAAATTTCTGTTATTGTTGTTTTTATTGTCAAGAAATTAAATCTTTTTTTTTTGTTTTTAGGAATCACTTAATCAAGAAGAAATGAAAGATGATTAAAGGAAAATAATTATATTGTCACGTTTAGATTTTGGGTTATTCTAAACAGGTAATTTACATGAAAATTACAAAATATTTATTTTAAATTATGAAATAATAATAATAATAAAAATATTAATATTACAGTAATGATTTATTTTTTGAATTTTTAAAATAAATAAATAAATAAAATTTCCAGAGTAAAAATAATGTTAAAAATCACATAATTCTTTAACATATCTATTAACACCCACTAATCTTTTTACGACCCTTACTAATTTTAATAATTCGTTAGTCAAGTGACTTGTTTTTATCAAATAAGCACAATAACAAGCATAAGCTTGAGTTTCTAAATCTATTTTTGTTAATTCGGAAGCAGATCTACTAATTTTATGAGATATTCTACTACCTAATCCAACTTTACCAAACTTTGTGTCACCTGATGCAACGATATTATAAGGTGGTAAAGGTATTCCATTTTCCAATGCGGTGGAAAGTATATGAAATGATGTTAAAATATGTGTAATGTAATGACACTTTGATGGGGTTAAAACACCCGCTAAATCCGTTTTCCATTCAGTTCCATTTAATCCATGAAGTGTATATTCTAATCCATTAATTAAATTAACCAAATGTTCTACTATATCAATCATCATTTTATAATCTTCCATAGGAAAATATCCTCTTAAAGGTGGTTCATAAATTGTACGTGAAAGTAATAAACGTTCAGTGACTATTGATCTATTTATGCGCGTTACTAATTTTCTAAATGAACGGGTGGTAATTAAAGGAACTGGTTTATGAGGAGTTTTTAATAATGATGAAACCGTCATTGAATAAAGAATTCCCAAATTAGATATTGTACGAGCTAATCGATGACGAACTTCTACTCGTCCCGTATGAGGCCAAGGAATCATTTTCATTATAAATGATGCAGTAAGCCCGGTAGATACGGCACTTGTTCGCTAAATAATAATAATAATAATAATAATAATAATAATAATAATAATAATAATAAATATAATGATAATAATAATAATAATAATAATAAATATAATGATAATTGAATATAAGCAATATATATTTAAATATAATATTTCTTCTTTCAAATAAAATTATAAAGTAATTCTAACCATTGCAGCAATTGTGAATACTGTAGTTGTAGGATTTCCAAGTCCATTAGAAGCCTGATATACATTAGCTAAGACCAATGGGAAATTAACCAACATAATAACTCCTCCCACCGTCCATACTTTAGCATTTAAATATATAAACCATAATAATAAAGAAAATAAAAATAAGATGGCAGCAAGTCCATACACATTTCCGCGGGTAATTTCCCAAGAAATTATTGCCATTAAAGCTCCAACTCCCGAACCAATTAAACGACCAAAAAATTGAAGTACTGCGCCACCAGTCGTTGGTGAGAATGATAAAACCGCACTAATGAGTGCCCACTATATTTAAATCAATTTTAATTATTTTAATTATTTTTTAATTATTTTTTTTAATTCTAAATGAAAATATTTTTAAAAATAATAATAATAATAATAATAATAATAATATGAAAATCTACCTGACCACGATAATTATCAAACAATTCTGAAGTATGAGGTAAGAATGCTGGTATACTTAAACAAGTTACTACTAAAGAATTCTTAAATGCAAATCTTGCATATTTACTATTAAACCAATTTCTTATTTTCCATAATTGATACCAAAATTTTTGACTAGTTGTGACAGGTGGTGTCACATCAGGATCACAATAATTTGAACCAAATAAATCATCTTCTTCTGCTTCCTCATTTTGAGGTTCAACAACTTTCCACCCATCTTCATCACTTTCTCCAATATTTTTTATACGTTTTAAAAATGGAATTGAAGGCATCCATAATCTTTTAGATAATCTTTTGGTTTCTAAAATTTTAATTAATCCAACCAAGAAACCCAAATTTTCAGAAAAAACTTTAAGATTATTTTCAAATAGTAATAATAATAAAAAAATTCTTTGTGGAGAAGGACTAATTGTTTCTTGATTCTCGAAAAGATAATTTAAACCTTCTTGACGTGCATCATTAAATTTAACCATAGCAAGTTGTAAAAGTTGTAACGGATCTTCCACAACATTTTGATAATGATGTGAAGTTGATTTACGATAAAATGGCCACCATTTTTTATACCATGGATCACAACAATTATGTTGAAAATGATCAACACGTGAAATACAATCTGCCAAACATAATTGACATGCTTCAGAAAGTTCTGTACAAATAGGTCGAAGAATATATAATAATTTTGTTAAATCTTCCTCTTTTCCCAAGGTACCAATAGTATTTGTGGGAGAATGTGGTGATGATTTATCATCATCAAAACTATAAGCTTGATCAAAAATTGATTCACATTCATTATTATCTTCTATTCTAATTTCTATTGTACCTTCTTGACCATCTTTCATAAGTTCTTCTTCAATTACACCACTTAAAGCTAATCCACCTAATGTCATATACATAGTTTTCATTAATCTATTAATTTCAATTAAATCTTCTGGTCCAATCTTTGAAAATGATATTTCATGTTGTGCTTCCCTCTTTGCATTATCAAGATTTTGAAGATTATCTTGAACAGCTCTATTTAATTGAGATATAGTATTTCTATTATATGCGTCACGAAGAAAAAAATGAGTTTCTTGATCAAGTAAATCTATAAAACTTTGAAGTGTTTCATGCATATAAGGAATATAATTTGTGGTAGCATTTTCTGGCCATAATAATAAATTAGCAATAACGGAACAAGTAGGACCTATTATCATTGGTATTAGTAAAGATTTCTTTGTGTTTTTTTTTTTGGACAACGATGATTGATAAAAAAAAGTAATAAGTTGAAGTAGGATAAAATAAAAAAATTCTATTATTATTATTTTTTTTTTTTTTAAAGAAAATATAATTTTTATCTTACCAAAATATTAAATTCGGTATGTGGCCTAATATAAGATTGGGTTAAACTAAAACTCATAATAATAATAGCATTTATAGAACCAAAACGCATAGGTGGCCATTTTATTTTATCATAAGATAAAATAAATGTTCCAATAGCCAAGAAAATTAAATTCATTATTGTAGAAGGAGTATAATATACCTCGTCTTCACGTAAGATATTAGATATAACGATTCCAATCAATGACCAAAGTGATGCCATAACAGCACCAACAATTCCCCAAGCTGCACTCTAAATTAATTAATTAATTAATTTTAATTTTAATTTAATTAATTAATTAATTTTAATTTAATTATTTAAGTTAATTAAAATATAAAATGTAAACGTTATATATATTTACTTACTTCTGACAATGCACCAAATGTTCTCGAAGGTTGAAAATAACAAACCATTACAATGGCCAGAAAAGTACTTGAGCCTACTGTGTGCATTATCGGTACGATCAGGTCTACGAGAAAAGCAAGCCAATAAGCAAAAGCTGCTTTGAGTACTTGCTTTGCCATAGCCCAAGTTGCTTTTTCCTTAATATCTAAGAAGAAAGATCGGAATAGTCCAGAACAAACATTCTTTTTTTGTTGTTCTTTAGAAAATTTATCCTCTCCTTTCTCTATTCCTTTCTCTATTCCTTTCTCTATTCCTTCTTCTCCAAAACCTTGTTTATGATTATTAAGTTCATCGGAAAAATTTAAATAAAATCCCGGTGACTTTTGAACTTTAAGAATATCGTCACTCGTCAAAGTCAATTCGTTATCAAACTCCTCTTCGGGAACCTCATTCGAGGGTAGGGGATCAACAGTGATAGTATCAATTGTCCAGTCTGAACGCATTCTTGAAGGTCTAGGTCTCGCCATAATAAAAACCAAATTTTTAAAGAAATCAAAATTTTCGTAATATGCATGATAGATAAAGCCTTTTATATATATCTGTGGAATAATATATATCTGATATCTGTGGAATGATTAAAGAATAATCTTTAAAAAATTACACTAAAATTATCATTATTATAAAATTATATATAAAAAAAAAAAAAATAAGCTAAACCTTTTTCTGATTTTATTGATTATAACCAATCGTTTTTTATGGATAAGTGTATGAAAAGGCGTTATAAATATATTGTATGTGTCAACCTTAAAAAGGAGAAAATCAGCTGCGGGAGGGAAAAAATGATATAAATCAAATCTCATTAGTTCTTAAAAATTACTTTATTTCAACTTTAAAAAAAATAATAATGTCTACAACTACAATTCAAGCTACATATATGAATCGAAGTCAAGGTAAAAAATTCGAGTGTCAAGTTCCGCCTTTCGATTATTCTTCTCCTTCTTCTCCTTCTTCTGGTCAAGGATTATCATCATCCGCATTGAAGTCATTGTCAGATTCTCTTATCTTACTTCAAAAGGATATTAATAATTATTTTACATTTAAATTACATGAATTACGTGAGACAAATTTGGATATTAATGAAGAAGAGAATGATGATGATGAATTAACCAAAGAATAATAAAGAATAATTCAAACTGATTAGTAGTACAATCGTGATTGTAATAATTGTAATAATTGTAATCAAATGTTTATAACCCTTTCTTCGCATAAATCTGTAAGTTATTGCTAAGCAGGCTGCAATAGGACGTCAGTTCTTTGAAAACCTTCATAAGATTTAAATTTTTTATATAGTTTTATTTTAAAAATAGCATTTTTTTTTTTGGCTTCCCCCTTAAAGATCATCCCAGTTTTAAATGTAATTGTATAACTTAATAAAATCAGGAAAAGGCCTCACTTTTAACCATTAAAAAAAAAAAAGGAATACATCTCTATCTGCGAAAACTTTTTCTCTTGCGTCATTGCAAATCTGAGTACTATTATAAATTTTTTTTATATAATAAATATAATAAGATAAAAAAAAAGATCGCTCCTTCACCTAAATATTCGATTTGATCGACATGTTACACAACCATTTATATTCGTTTTACAATAAAGCTCAATTGAAATTATGATCGTTTGACTAAATGAATAGTCATGAAACTTTGCAAATATATTTAATTAATTGGATCTAATTGGATCCGATTCACCAAGGAGTTTACTTAGAAGCGTATTTTTATAACAATAGACTACCGTTGACAAGTAAGGTTTAATTATTCTCAAGTTTTATTAGATCATTTTATTCCATATAAAATATTTAATAAATATAATTTATTAAGTTATAGAAGTAAAATACATCAAAAAAAAAGTTACCACATATATTTTATATAATAAAATGAAGAAATTTTATCATAGATTGATATTAATTTGTAAATGCAAGAATTAAAAATTATTTTAATTTAATAATTTACAATCAAAGAGAAAAATGAAACATCATAATCTATGCAAATTTATAAGGTGGTATTATATTTATAAAAATTAAATAATAATGATTTTTGAATTTATTTGTATTTTTATTAATGAATGGATTGAGTTTTTAAGATATTATAAGTATTACAAGAGAAAATATTTAATTTTAATTTGAATGTAAATTGTAAAGTTATTAAGGTTTTATTGTGAGAAATATTAATCTTTATTCTAAATACTGATCATGTGATAATATATTATATTGACCAATCATATATTATCGATCGAAAAACAAACTTCCCTATAAATATTTAAATTTTTATTTACCTCTTAATAAAGTTAATAAAACTTATAGTTAACAGATTTTGACCACTAAGTTATTCTTTTGGAGTAAAGTAAACAAAATACAAGAAAAAATATGATATTAAACCTTTTAAGAAAGAAATAAAATGACAAATACCTAATAACAGGTCTAGTTATATTTAATATATGTAAAATTTTGTGTTGAGCCTTGAGCTTTTTAAAATAAATAAAATGGGAGGATATCACCTGATCTATAATTTTAAGACTTTTGAAAGGTATCCATTTTTGGAAAATATCACATAAAAATTCAAAAAAGCTATTAGATACCTTACTAATAGCCTTATAATAAAAATAATAAAATTGAATCAATAAATTTAGAATTTCTAATGATAACATTTTTTGTGCTAAGCTGTATATTCAGATCTAAAAAAAATTTTTTAGGATATTGCTAAAGCTCACTAGGCAAAATTACATAATTCCTAATCCAACGCAAATTTGTGTGATTAATTGAATCAATAATTTGAGATTGTTTTTTATATATGCTACGCTTACAATTTTTTGGCCAATCACGGATCACATTTCACAAGTTTTTAAAGAGAAATTCCGTCATCACTTTTAATTTTTAATTTTTAGAATATTTTTTTTTTAACAATGGAAGATCCAAAAATCAAAGAAGCAAGGGAAGCTATGGATAGTAAGTATCTTCAATTATTATTATCATAATTACATCATTTATTGTTAAAACATTGATTGACGCACTTTTTTAAGTTCTTTACGAAATTTCTACCCTACTTAACACGGGCTTGGATCGAGAAACACTTTCTTTATGTTTAAATTTGTGTGAAAACGGTGTTAATCCTGAAGCTTTAGCAGCAAGTATTTTCATTTATACCTGTATTTTTCCCAAATCGGATTCTTCAGAGGTTATATTCGAATATTCATTTTATATTTCATTTATTAAATATTTAATATTATATTTAGGCGGTGATAAAAGAACTTCGAAGAGAAAGTTCTTCAATAAAGGTAAGCAATTTATTTAAGGTTTATATTTTTAATAATTTTTCATTATAGTTACACTTTTATTAATCTTAATCTTCGAATTTAATTTTTGTTGGTTTTAAACTGGGATCAATCTCTTTATAGAAAGCGCCGTAAGCTTTATGTTCCTTCTTTTTGACACCACCTCCAAATTTAAGTAATGATTCAGGTACTTTTTGTTTGGCTTGTCGAAGAATATTAGCAAGTTCACCTGAATGTGTTTTATCATGTGGTGTAAAAAGTGTGTGAGAAATTCCCTAAAAAAAAATAATAAGAAATTAATAATCAATTTTAGAAATAAATCTAAATAAATAAATAATAAATAAAAATAGAAAAAAAAAAAATAGTGAAATATTACCTTATTACCAGCACGACCAGTTCTTCCAATTCGATGTACATAATCTTCTATAGTCAATGGGAATGAATAATTAATTACATATTCCACATCAGGTATATCTAATCCTCTAGCTGCAACATCTGTAGCAATCAAAAGCGGATAAATTCCATCTTTGAAAGCTTTTAACGCTTCAGTACGCTGAAATTGACTTTTATCTCCATGAATGGAAAGTGTTTCATAACCTTGACTTGCTAACATATTCTCAATACGGGAAGCTTCTTTCTTGTAAAGAACAAATACCAAAACACGATTTTTCCGATTATGATATCTTTCTAAAAGGGATAAAAGTCGTTTATCTCTTTCCCGATCTTCGAGTACCTCAACTATTTGTGTTACATTATTATTAGCAGATAGATCCGGTGAACCAATAGTAACTCGGATAGGGTGAGTTAAGAAATCATTTGCCAATTTACGAACGGATTCTGGCCAAGTAGCTGAGAACATAACAGTTTGCCGATTTTTACTTGTTTTTCTTATGATAGTACGGACATCATCCTCAAAACCTTTATCAAGCATACGATCAGCTAATAAAGATAATAAATATAATAAATATAAAAAATAATAATAATAATAATAATAAGGAAACAACAAAATCAAATATAAAAAATACAAAATATAAAGTACCTTCATCAAGGACGAGATATGAAACTTTGCTAATATCACAAACATTTTCGTTAATCAAATCAAGTAACCTTCCAGGAGTAGCCACAACAATGTGAACACCTTTACGTAATAATTTATATTGTTCAGATTTAGAAACCCCACCATAAATGCATGCACTTTTGATCCCACATGTAGAATCAAACAAAACACATTGTTCTTGTATTTGCATAGCCAATTCACGCGTTGGTGAAATCACAAGAACGATTGGTTGATTAGAATGGGTTTTGTTTTTTGTATTTTTAATATGCATAACTGCGGGAACAGTAAAAGCTAAAGTTTTTCCCGAACTAATTTAATTTAATTTAATTTAATTTAATGAAGAAGAAAAAAAACTTGAGAAACTGTTAAGAAGAAATAATAATAATTAATCAGATCCATAAAATAAATGAATAAATAAATAAATAAAAAATATACCCAGTTTCAGCGATACCAATCACATCTTTTCCATTTAAACAAATCGGCCAACAAGTTGCTTGAATTGGTGTTGGTTTCTCAAATTTTTTCAATACACGCTTAACCTCTTTATCTATTTTCAATTGTGAAAATGACATTATTGGCTTGAAATTTAAATTCCCGGTTATTTGAATGGAATTACATTCGAGGAATTTAGTGACTTCCGATTTTGAGATTGGTTCTAATAAAGGAGGAGGAGGAGGTTCTATGTACTTGACGTTATTGACATTATTATTTATGAAGACAATTGGTACTAAATTCCGGGTTAAACTTCTCTTGTTAAGATCAGCTTTATCTTCATTACCTTCATCAATCTCATCATTTTTAAAATATCTATCATCTGAATCAAAATTATGTTTTCGTTTTTTGACAAAAGAAGAATTATTCTTGTTATCACCATCATTGTATTTTTCGCGTTCTTTTTTCTTCTTTCCTTTCTTTCTTTCTTTTTTCGTCTTGATTTCAGATAAACAATCTTTTCCATCATTTAATCCATTGGTTTTTTTTTTCTTATTCTTTTTTCCAACCTTTTCTACCTTCTCTACATTTTCTTCAATTGCACTAGTAGTAATATTATCAGAAGTATTATTTCTATTCGGTCTATCTTTGTTTTTAATTATTACTTCAACAGGTGATTCATATTCTCCCTCCTCTTCATTCCGTTTTCGTTTTTTCTCAATTTTTTTTGATTGTTTACTATCTCTGCTGGCAGAAGTTTTATGAGGTGACTTGATCCTTTTATTAAGTTTATCATTTTTTTTTATTTTTTCTTTAAAAACAGTTTTTAAATTGGCTTCTACAACCGAATTTTCAAGTCGGGCTCTTTTTTCAACTTTTTTACTCGTTATTGTCTTTTCATGGCTTTTATCAGAAGATTCCATTATAATTTTCACAAGAAAATAAATCTTGAAAAAAAATTTTTTTTTTTATTTCTCGTATCTGCAATGTTCTTTGGTGAAGTAGCACAAAGAGTTATTCGTTGATTATTTAAATCAAAGCTTAGATGCCATTACCCGTTTTTGGAGTTGAGATAAATGACACAGAGAAAACTTATCCTATACACCCACAGGTTTTAATTCATTACAAAAATAAATAAATTAATTAATTACAAAATCTTTATTCAAAAATTTTTTACAAATTGAATTAAATTTTATTATTTCTGATCCCAAGTCCTTTTGACTCCTCTCATCTAAAGAATTTGAATTTTTTTTTGTAGGTCTCTTTACTAATTTTTACTAATAAAACAAAAAAAAATCGATCATAAAATAATAAAATAATATTCTTTTATTAAATTGTCATTCTTAAACGTAATTTTAAACTTCAAGAATTGTTACTATAAAAAGTCAATTTAACCATGTTGCGTCTTTTAGTTTTTTCAAATTGGGAAATTTATCATTCTTAAAACCTTTACGTGTGTTGTCCAAGTTTTATTTCGCCATCTGGATAATTTTGATAGGCTTTTATTTTTCTGATATCATATAATAAACGTGATACGATGTCCAGCATTCCAAGATGATCGTATTGTTAAATTCTTCTTTTTGACAAAAAAAAAAAATTAATTACTAATGAATAACTCAGGACATCCTATATCATATCCAAATAATCAACCAACCATGAATATGGGTAATATGGGTCCCGGTTATCAACAAACTTCTACTTCCCCTCCGCCTCTTGAAAGTGGAATAACATCCACAGGGCAGCGTGTTTCAACGCCACCCTCAGCAGGCATTCATAAATCAAAACGTCAATATCCGAAACAAATTGCGGAAGCTTATGCGGATACTGGTAATTCATTAGATCCATATCAACTTTATACACCAGCAGCTGCTCCTGGAACGGGCAATCTTCCTCAACAGCCAATACAACAAATTCCTCAATCTCAATTTTTTACTCCTGGTGGAGATCAACAACCAACATATAATCAACAACAACCACTAACATATAATCAACAACAACCACCAACATATAATCAACAACAACAACCAACATATAATCAACAACATCAACCAACATATAATCAACAATCACCAACATATAATCAACAATCACCAACATATAATCAACAACCATATTCTCCTAACATAGCTGGAGTAACAAATCAATTCAGTAATTTGGGATTTGGTGGACCAGCAGCACAGGTAAACCTTATATTTTTAATAACACATAATCTTAGAATCAAAAAAAAAAAAATAAATATATATATATATATATTTTACTAAAAATAATCCTTAAAAATTATTTAATTTCTTAATTAAATAAAATAAATAAATACAAAAAGTCTCAATTGATCCCAGTTCATCTAATCGGTACTTCTCCGAATGTCAGGGAATTAAGTGCTCCCCCGCCATCAATTAATCTACCACCTAACGTAAGTCAAATGAACTTAAATCACTTATTTCGATAAAAAAAAAACAAGCAGGGATGATGTTGAACATCCCATGTTCACTACCTTTTTCTGATTTAAGACGTCTGTTACTCCATCGGACAAAGCGAATTGTGATCCATCTTACAAACGATGTACTCTCAATGCGATACCTGCTACTTCAAGTCTTTTAAGTAAATCACGTTTACCTCTTGCTCTTGTTATTACCCCTTATAGAAGTCTGAAAGAGGGTGACGTGAGTATTAATATTACTAATATTTACAAAATAATTTCATAAAAAAATGATTAATTTGTTAATTTAATTTCTCTCTTGAATTATAGGATCCGGTCCCAGTAATTACAGATACTGTTATAGCGAGATGTCGAAGATGTAGAACTTACATCAATCCTTTTGTAACGTTTGCAGAAGGTGGACAAAAATGGAGATGTAATATGTGCTTTTTATTAAATGAAGGTAATTAAATCATTCTATCCCATTTTTATCTTTAATATTTTATTATATTATATTAATTTTACTAACCAAAATTTTATCTCATTATATTAGTACCTGCACAGTTTGATTGGGATTTACAGACCAATCAACAAACGGATAGATGGAAACGTGCAGAGTTGAATCACGCTGTTGTTGAATTCGTAGCACCAACAGAATATATGGTAAATTGATTTAAAAAAATTTTTGAAAAGAAAATTTTGCATTTATTATAAATTAATCTATTGATTTATTGAAGGTTCGTCCTCCTCAGCCTCCAGTTTATTTATTTGTAATTGATGTTTCCTTTCCTGCTGTGCAATCTGGTAAAAAAAAATTTTCGTTAATTTACTTTTATTATCTTTTCATTTTTTTTTTTTTTGTACGAAAAACTGATTTATTCGTATTGTCGTCTTTGTAGGGGCTGTGGCGACCGCTGCAAAGACCATTTTGGAGTCTTTGGATCGAATACCTAATGAGGAAAATCGCACAAAAATTGGATTCATAACTTTTGATTCTTCGCTACATTTTTATAGTTTGAATGTATGATAATTTCCCATTTTTACGTGTAAATTAAATTAAATTTTTTTTTACCATTATTGACTAATACATGTTATAAAAATTTCTCGATAGTCTAATGCTTCAGAACCTCAAATGTTGGTCGTATCTGATCTTGACGATGTATTTCTCCCGCAACCAGATGATTTATTAGTAAATCTTAGTGAATCTCGAACTGTAGTTGAGTCATTACTTAGTCGCTTAGGGGATATGTTCAAAGGCACACAGATAGTTGGAAATTCTCTAGGATCTGCATTATTGGCTGGCTTCAAATTAATTGTTCGTATGAATTTCTAATTAAAAAAAAAAATAATCATTTCATGGATCTTACATTACATTATTAATAATTTTTTTATGATTTTTTATATTTTTTATATTTTTTATGCATATCATCCATTTTCTTAGTCCCCAATTGGAGGCAAGATTGTTACGCTATTATCAAGTTTACCAAGCATCAATCCCGGTGCATTGAAACCTCGGGAGGATTCAAAAGCTTTGGGTACTCCAAGGGTAAAATTTTTTATTACGTCAAAATATCTTATGTTATCCTCTTATCTCTATTTTTTTTTTTAATCTGCTTACATTATTTACATTATTATATTTATAATTTTCAGGAATCATCTTTACTTTTGTCCGCTGATCCTTTTTATAAAAAATTTGCAGTCGATTGTTCGAGGGCGCAAATTTGTGTGGATATGTTCTTACTTAGTTCACAATATACAGATGTAGCGACATTAAGTACGATATCCCGTGTTGTATTTTTAATTTTTAAATTTTTTTTTCTTAACCAAATATATTAAATATATTAAATTCCTTTAAAAAAAATCAAAGGTTGTTGTCCGCGTTACACAGGAGGAAATACATTTTTTTACCCTTTGTTTAATGCAGGGAGAACAGAAGATGCGCTCAAATTTGCACACGAATTCGCTGAATATTTGGCCAGTCCTTTGGGTTTGGAAGCAGTAATGCGTGTCCGAGCTTCAAAAGGTGATTACTCATTTCAAATTACTATTCATTTGTATTTTTTTTTATTTTTATTTTTTTGTATTAATGAAAATAATAATAATTTCATTATAAAAAAAAATGTGTTTAATTAGGTCTTCGTATGAATACATTCCATGGTAATTTCTTTGTACGTCAAACGGATTTGCTTGCTTTACCAAATGTGTCAAGAGACCATTCCTATACAATTGAAGTGGCCATAGAAGATAATATAACAACTCCCACTGTATGTTTCCAAACTGCTCTTTTACATACGACATGCTTTGGTGAGTGATAAAAATATCTATATCCATATTAATAAAAATTGTTATAAATAATAAAGCTAAGCGCTAATTGATTAATTTATTTATATTAATAGGTGAGCGAAGAATTCGGGTATTAACTTTAGCATTACCGGTGACTAATAATATGGGTGAATTATTTGCGTCAGCTGATCAGATTGCCATAACAACACTGCTTGCAAACAAAGGTAAAATTTTAAATTTCTTGTATTTTTTATTTCATTATTATTTATTGTTATTATAGGAATTATAATTAATGATTAATGTTTAATTTAATTTAATTTTTATTTTATTCATAAAGCGGTGGAGAGATCACTTTCTTCAAAATTGGAAGATGCTAGAGATGCATTGACAAATAAATTGGTGGATATTTTGGGAGTATACAAATCCTCTCTGACTGGATCTCAAAGTGGAGCATCTCCCCAGTTACAAATTTGTGATAATCTCAAGTTGCTTCCCTTGTTGTCCCTTGCATTACTGAAACATGTATGCGTTTTTATCATGTTTCTTCCTGTAAATAAATAATGTGAATGATAGATATAATAGTTTTTTTTTTTTTTTTATTAATGAACTTTCTAGGTCGGTCTTCGTGCAAGTTCACAAATTCCTACAGATTTACGGTCATACGCAATGTGTTTGTTGACAACGTTGCCATCACAATTGTTAATTCCATATCTACATCCTCAATTTTATTCTCTACATAACATGCCTCCAGCAGTAAGACATTTTATCAGATGCTAACCACAAACTACTGATTTTGATCATTTATTAATTAATTTTTTTATTTTAATTTCAATTAGGTTGGAACATATGGACCCGATGGGACTATTATGCCTCAACCATTGAACTTAAGTAGTGAAAAATTAGATCGGAGTGGAGCTTATTTATTGGAAGATGGTCAAAATATTTTTATTTGGATTGGTCGACAAGTAGATCCTCGACTATGTGCGGATTTGCTAAATGTTCGTTCATATGAGGAAGTTCGAGCCGGAAAAGTATGTTTAATTTGTTTAAATATGGGATTTGTTTGAATTTATTTAACCCTATTTAATATTTAATATATTTAATCTTATTATTACTTTATCCACTTTTTAAAGACTACACTACCACAACTCGATAATTTATTCTCTCAACGGGTAAATTCAATTATTGGCAAAACACGAGAATCGCGACGAGGAGTTTATCACCCCCATTTATACATAGTAAAAGAGGACGGTGATCCATCAATACGGTTATGGTTCCTGTCGCATATCATAGAAGATCGAACAGATACAGTAATGAGTTATCATCAGTGGTTAGGAACTTTGAAAGATAAGGTAATAAAGAAGAATTTCTTATATTGAATTTTTTTTATTAAAAATAAAAATAAAATCTGATGATGATGTTTCTTTCAGGTCAATTCCGGATCATTTTAATCACGAGAACGAAACATATTTGGATCTTATTTTATTTTGTTATTGGGTTATTTTCTTGAGTAATATCAACCAAATTCAAATAAGAATCCAAACAAGACTTTAAAGAGGAATTACATATATTGTACAGACATTCAGAGAACGAATAGGGAGAAAGACTAGTACGAAATTCCAAAAGTTGTAGATACTACTATTACTACTATTTAAAGAGAATATTTTAACAGTATTTTTTTAACTTTATTTACTTTATTTTATTTGACAAAAAATAATTTGATTAATAAACAAGCTAATAGTTTGCATAATTAATAGGTTTTTAGTTATTACTTTTTTATTTTTATTTTTTTCATATAGGATTTTTTTTTATATAGAATAAATTATATTAAAAATTTTGTTAACAAAAAATAAATAATGTTTTATTATTTTTAATGAAAATCAAGTTCCATTTGTGTAATTAATAAATAAAATTACTTTAATTCCAATAGAATTAGTTGTCTCGTACATAAAAGATACTGATATGAAAATCAAATTTTCAAGTGATCGACATACTATATGATTATAATAGAAATTGCATGCGTAATTTAATCATGCGATAATCTGATTACCTTACACCTGCATATGTGAAAACTTAAATATACACGTAATGTTACGCGTCTCTTCCTAGTTGCTTTTCTAATACATTTTAAAATATAGGCTTTACACGTCTTCTACCACCTCTACTATTGACGTTCGAGGATATTTATCCGCACGTAACTATATCCCGTACACAAAATACTTTGAGCTTTGCTCATATGAAAACTGGTCTCTCCATCAATACGTCTCACTTATAATTAATAATTATAAGTTCGCTGATAAAGATACAGCACATTCCTTCTTTTTTCTTACTCTACAAAATGGATGCGTTTGTTGGACACGTACTGACAAACATCATGGAATACTTGATATAAATTTTTAGTAAAGATCTGTTGATTCTGAAGGAGGATTCAACTATGTACTTTTCTTTACATTAAGCGGGCATTCGTCAATGAAGTAGAATATTCTCCAACATTTCCAGAAAAGAAGAAAAGATATTTTCGTGTCCTCCAGTAGATAAAATCAAATATCACCATGCCCTGGAAAATATATAAGAATGTCAAGATAGCATTTATTGTGGAAATCCGATTTCAAAAAATGAAAATTTCTCACTAGTTCTTACACAGATGTCCACTCATCTGGTTTTGCTTTTTATAGGCTGATATAAAAAAAGTAAATGGTTTGTGGGATAAAGCTATTAAAAGAAATAAGACATTATTATCAGCAAAATCATCATCACTATTAGTATCATCATCATCATTGTCAACATCACCATCTCCATCATTTATACATAATTATTATGATAACAATAACAATGATCACGAAGATTACAATAATAATGGCAATGATGATAATAGTAGTAATAATAATATCAATAATAGCAATGATAACAGAATTGTTGGTGGATCTATTCAACATGAAAAAAGAGCAGTTCTTATCCTATCTCTTCAAAATAAAAAGGGTTAATTATGTTAATTATATAGTAATAATAATGAAAATTATGAAAATAATGATGATAACAATAACAATAATTATAATGTCAATATTGACAATGATAATGATGATGATGATGATGAAAATAACAATAATAACAATAATAATAGCAACAATGATAATTTTTTAGTGGTTGATGTAATGAAAAAAAAGAAAACAGGTTAATTATAATAATAATAATGATAATAGTAATAGTGACAATAATGATGATGAAAATAACAATGATAATGGTGATAATGGTAATGGTAATAATGATGAAAATAATAATAATAACAATAATAATGATAATAATGGCAATATCAGTGAAGATAATAATAGTAATAACAATAACAATAATAATGATTATACAACAATATTTACTAGTCAAATATAAAAGAATCACTGTACTGAATGGTAATTCCTATACTATAAATCAGCTAAAAATCAGTAACAATTGACTGTTCTATTGCATCCTATGTTATAAATCAGCTAAAATCAGAATTTCTTTTTAGTATAGCATATCTTTTGTATTTAATCTGTGATTATCATCATCCAGTAATGGACATTTAAGGTTATATCAATTTTCTTTAAGTCATAAATATTCATAATTACTATAGGTCATAATGGGTTATATGGTTATAATTATAATTGATGAATAGGTCATAATGGATTATATGGTCATAATTATAATTGATGAATAGATCATAATTAGGTCATAGCCAATACTGTCATCACCAGCAGTAACAACAATATCAACAACACCATCAGAATCACCATATAATCTTCACACAAGAAGACCCAATTCCCTTAGTTATAATTGTGATCATATAATTAAAAAATATCAAAAAAAAAATAAACCATTATCACAACTACAACCATTGTTACAGAATAAAATTATATATAGTATACAATACTAAAAACATCTGCAAATAATTAGCAATAACATTAGATAATAGTAATATTTAAAATTTAATTAGTAAACATTAATTCACTTAACAAATGATGATATTTTAATAACATTTTAACTAATATTTACATTTGGTGACATATATTAGTTAGTTATATTATAGTGTATAGAATCACATATTCATGTGATATTTAGTTATACAAATATAATATTAATTTATAACACTAATTATTATCACATATTATATTATTTAACAATAATTATTAACACTTAGTATTGTGACATTTCAAATAATTATTTTTATCTTTTGTTTATTTTTATCTTTTTTATTTGTATTATTTATAAATATAGTTAATTTTGTAAATCAGTGGTACAAATTAAAAGTACTACATTTAAGAATTATCATTGTTAATTTACTTAGGTATATATCTAGGTACAATACCTAAAGAAATACCTAGATAGGATACCTGAAAATAGATAATGAAATTACCTTTGATGATATTATTTGTATCACTTGATAAAGAAACAATCTAGTATAAAAGATAGTATAGTTTGTCTGCAACACAAAAGATATTAAAAGGATATAAATACAGGTCTCTTTAGCTTTGATTTTTCATCAGTTAGTTAATTAGTTCAGTTCAGTTTTAATAGTTCTAATAGTTCTCAAGTTTTATATAATATCCAAACAGTTCTTTAATTTATTTTTTTAATAAATATTATTTCTTTTATCATTTCTATATACTTATCCTTTATTATTTATTATCATATATCTTATCTATTTCTTATATTTCTTGTATTTATTTTAATAAAAGTTAATATTAAAATAAAGTCTTTGTATAATTTATTAACTTTAAATCTTTTACATATACACCTTACTAGGTCACAAACTAACTTGGTGTTGTAAAAATTCCATCATAATAAAGAATTCACTTCTAAGTTGACCATCTTCCTTAATTTTGTAATTTGCTATAATTGATCAAGTAGGATTATCAGAAATAGCATGATAATTATATAACCTTTTGTTAATTTTTATTAGAGAAGATTCTCTATCCTTCAGAACATAGTCACATTAGACATGTAACAAATTGGTATCTCCTATGAGATTGTGAAAATTTATTATTTTAGTTTAGTTTATTTTTATTTATCTTTATTTTCCTCTGTTTTTATTAGTTTATACTTTTATTTATGATTGAATTAGAAGAATTAAATAATATTATTTTAGAATTAATTGAAATTTATTGTCAAAAAATAAAATACATAATTGATTAAACCTTATTGATCAAGATCTAGTTTAAAAATTAACTAATCTTGAAGAATTATGCAAAATTAAAGAATAATTAAATTTAGTTTTTAAAATTAGAGATAATTGTATACAAGTTTTTAAAAATTTAGAATTTCTTAAAAGTTATTCTTTCCAATAGTATTAGTTATTATTTTCTTTAGTAATATTTTATATTTTTATCCTTATTTTTATATTTATATTTTTATTCCTTATTAGTATTAGTATAGTTATAATTCTTAACAAATTATCACATATATTTATCATTACCCCTTTATTACTTAACAATATAAATATCCAATAAGCTACTGCAGTTGTAAATGTATTTCAAGACTTAACTTAACAAATGGAAATTAGAAATACCATTCCTATATCTCACTTTGAAAGAGAAAATCAAGACCCAATCAAATGGCTTGAAGAATTTGAAAGAAATATTCAAGAAAATGAATACAATAACAATTACAAATTACATGTAATTGGTGGATATCTATTAAATAAAGCTAGAACCTAATACAAAATACAAGAAGCTAACATGAGAATTTAATTTCAATTCTGGAAAAATTCAAATAACCAAAGTTTTAAAACTTTCTTTCTTAGACAATTAGAAACCAAAGTAAAATTATATAATGGAAGTCAGAACACTGGTCGAAATATCATAAATCGGGTATAGATCGGGTATAAATCGGGTACCCGATAGTACAAATCGGGTGCAGTTTTTTTGTACAGTTTCAGGTACTTATCGGGTACCCGATATGATAATCGGAAATTCGCAT